TAGAATTGCTTCACTGTCTGACAATTATCTAGGCTGGTTCGCCCTGACATGGAGGGCAAGCTATTTCGAATCCTTAGTGCACTTAAGAAAATAAAAAAATAGTTTACCTTATGATCGTTTTTCTTAGACGAAGAAATAAAATAAATGCGCAAGAGTAAGTGGATGAGCCACTATTGATCCTATGCAAAATGTCTTGTCCATCAGAGATATGTGGTGAACAAATCGCAACCGAATTTGTCTACAGTGCAATCATTCAAATCTCGGGAGAAATAGCAGCACTCAGCTCAACTGTATACGCTTAAGATCCCGAGTGAGCTAAGTCACAAATTCCATGAGTTTAGTTATGCATGACTTTACTGGATGTCAGTCAACAGATATACGTAACAAACTGACGTGGAGGTATGGTACTCAGCAGCAATTAAACGCAACTCAATTTCGTAAATGTGCCCTTCAGCTTAACAACCAATCAGAATAAGGCTGGAATTATTCTGTCCGCCATCTTTGTAAGTAATGGCGGTCGGCTTTCTTCGTTCTGCGCTTCTTTCAGCTATTTTTTGTGTAGCTATGTAATTTAATGTTTCGGTGTGCTAAAATGCCGCATTTAGTGTAATGTTCAATATGTTGGTGTGAAATTTATTTCGAATCAGAGATTTTTTCTGGGTTCTTGCTGCCTCTACTCAAGTCAATGTATTTCTTCAGGCAATCTGGCTAGTCTTGTGTTATAAAATTTTAATGCGTTTTGTTCTGAGTTCTTTTTTTCAGATATCGGGAGCCAATGTTAGTTTCGTTAGCTTAAATAAGTGTTACGGCTGTATGGAACTCGAACTGTCGACATAATCGTTCCTAACTGGCAGGCAAGCTCGTTTTTCTTATGTCATAAAACCTTAATCCGTTATATTTTGAGCATTGTTTTTTAGATATGGAGAACGGAAGTTATTTTTCTTTAGCTAAAATAATTGTTGCTGCCGCATGTGACCGTAACTGGTCACATATTCATTCCTAAGTGTTATTTATTGTTATCAAGCAGAATGAAAGATTTGTTATTTTCTGCAGTATTATGGATCACGCTACTCCATCAACCAGTCAAACTAATGCTGAGTGTCCAGAGGCTGTGGATACCAGTGATGTCTTCGAAATGATTATGAGACCCAGGCACCTGACAAGCTGTGACCATTTCAGAGAAGCTATCGATCTGCTGCAAAAGGTTTGTTACTGATAATACACCATCTAAAAAGTAATAGATGACTTGAACTCATTATGTTGTACGTGAAAGCAGGCTGAACATAGAAAAGCCGGAAATTCACTATGAGTATGTGGTGTATGTATGTTCTTTTGGACATAAAAGGAGCAAGAGATCTATGTTCAGAGAGTAAAAGGGTAAATGATTATTAATATTGTTTTCAATTTTCATAGATCAAAGTTTGGTGGTTGCAAGGCCATGTTTCGTTTACGGTATGCTGTGAACCAGTTCGTCATATCGTCGTCGAGGATGATACATAACCATCCTTGTGATGAAAAGCGCTTGGAAAATGATCCTAGGTTCAGAAGACTAACGTACTACTGCAACACATCATGGCGGCTGAAATAGGCTATAAGAAGGCCCGGACTTAGGGGTTTCCCGTTGTTTGCTTATCATATGGTATTTCAATCACAAACTAAGATTACAGACAGGGACTGTTGGGATGTGTAACTGAGTCAACTGTCTTAGTGTGAAATTACTACATATCAACTAGGTGCTGACAGGCTCGTATTTCACCAGTTTTTTACAACGATTAACTAGATGAAACGAAATAGCATTAAGTCTATAAATTTATTCACGAACTTTAATTAACAATGGAATACGAAACAAATATTTATACCAGATTCCAAATTACATTGTAGCATTGGTAAAGTGAAGCTGCAGTAGTTGTTTCTTTTCAAACGACAGGATATAGGAAGTAACTACAAAACACTGGAAGTGATTGTGAGACTAAAGTAGACGTCCGATATGCTGTTACTTGGGTCTCCCATAAAGTTTCATAGGGCCATGGTTATAAAGCTGAGTGACTTTGTAAGATCTGTGACGGCTCATTCCTGTTACTTACCTACTTACTTACGCCTGTTACTCCTCGTGAAGGAACATAGGCCGCTCGCAAGCATTCGCCATCCAACACTGTCCTGGACAATCCTTTCGAGCTCTCTCCAGTTGTTATTTGTCCTTTCCATATCTGCTTTTATTTCCCGACGTAATGTGTTCTTTGGCCCTCCTCTTTTCCGCTTCCCTTCAGAATTCCAAGTTAGGGCTTGCCTCGTGATTCAGTTTGATGATTTGCGTAATGTATGCCTTATCCATTTCCATCGTCTTTTCCTAATTTCCTCTTCAGCTGGAAGCTGGTTCATTATCTTCCACAGAAGCCTGTTGCTGATAGTGTCCGGCCGATGGATATTGAGTATCTTGCGTAGACAGCTATTTATAAATACTTGTACTTTCTTGATTGTGGTTGTTGTAGTTCTCCAAGTTTCAGCTCCGTACAGTAGAACTGCCTTGACGTTGGTATTGAAGAGTGTGACTTTGATATTGGTTTACAGCTGTTTTGAGTTCCATATGTTCTTCAATTGTAGGAATGCGACCCTTGCTTTGCCGATCCTCCCCTTTACGTCTGCATCTGAACCTCCTTGTTCATCGATGATGCTTACCAGGTATGTGAAGGAGTCTACATCTTCCAGAGTTTCGCCATCAAGAGTGATTGGATTGCTGTTCCTCGTTTTGAATTTGATGACCTTGGAATGGATCTGTCAGCTGTCCTCCATGTACGACTTTGCATTGTAGTCCGTCGTATGAGTTCCGGATAATAATGACAATCTTCTCAGGAACTCCTAAGTGTCGAAGAAGTTTCCATAACGTCCTACTATCTACACTATCAAATGCCTTTTCATAATCAGTGAAGTTGATGTATAATGACGAGTTCCACTCAAACGCTCACCAGAAAAAATAATTCATTCCGGTTACATTCTAAATAAAAGATAGTAATGGATTTAGTCAAGAATGTTGAAAAGGTAAATAAACAAATTACATGTCTCTAAGGAAAGAATTTATGCAGCTGTGATTTACCTCGACTTCATAAATATCAGATCACGCCAGCTACTAAAACATGTGCAAAGTACAGCATTGCACAGCTTTTATTATTTTGCTCCCACTTAAGTATTCTCATGCATCTGCGGCTGGTTTTACAGGAAGATATACAAGTTGATTTAGTATCTGGTAAACTAAAGTTTGCAGTTGTCAAAAAGACTCTTAACATTTGTTCACAGCCAGCAGCATTTAATTAAGACAGAACACTCCTCACCTAAGACTGTATACTGCTGTTTTGCAGGCAAATAAAAGCTCAGACACTTAGCTATCCTGCTACCAATGTTATTGCTGGGGAAATCGTTTAATGACAGTGGTCTTGAAACATGAACAGCGTTAGACGTACTGTCTACAAATAAACACCAAACGTACTTAAAGCTATCTTATGATGTATGACGGCAACAGTACCAAAGGCTTTTTTCCTATTTTTAATCAGACTGACTTGAATCAGTATACTCATTAAAAACAGGCAGCTCTACTTACTAAACTGATCTGTTTCGTTACAGGCTTCAAGCACTATACTTAAGTATACTATAATTCTATAGACAAAACTAAATTATACGGCAATCAGGAATACTTAACTAAACAAGTGTCATAATTATTGTTCCATTTGCACATACAGGTTGTTAAACGGAGTCAAATGAACACAATTCAGCCGATAGAACCAAAACACGAAATATAGGCCAGTCGAACTTACCTAAGAGAAAACGAAGGATACATATATACTGCTTTCACACTGAAGACAACAGGCAGTTGTTCATAAAAACATAGTTTTCAGTACAACAAACCTTTCTTCAGTAAAATCACGCACTGAAGGTCTATCTGGAAACAATCAACTATGTGAATAAACTCACTATGACTTGAGATATCATCCCAGCGTGCAATGGACGTACAGTATAACGCAGTCGAGCGTGGCGAATAAAAATTAAAAACAGAGTAAAATTAACCACACAATCTAGTTATTTAATTAGAAATACATTATGAAATGACAAAATCTGTGGTTACTTGAACGCACAGATGACCCTGGGCGATACATTAATTTTACATGATTGCGTTGCGGATAAATTCACCCATGGTACTCGAGTCCTTGTGAATTTTTGAATGAATTGGCCGGTTGTCGTGGCAAAAGAAGGTCATTTTCATGTTTCAAACCGCCAATCCAAGCGTTGTATCTCTGAAAACACGGGACCGAGGGATTGATAGAATAGAACAGGGATACTTAGAAGATAAACGTTTTTACGTGGTGTTCTTATTTGCACCACTCAACAATTGCGTCCACTTTACATTGTAACAAACAACAGTATTGAGCGCAAGAAAACAGTTCTACTTTACAACAGCTGGTAAAATAAGCGTTGTCCTTCAAAAATAAAAGTCCAACAAAGCACACAAAAGATTCCCGCGTTAGGAAAGTTTCGTTCTCTTTCTCTTTCCTTCTTCACATTGTTCTCATTTTTTTGCATTCTAGTCGTAACTTTAACCTTCATTATGCACCAAACGAAAAATGTAGTTCTGTAAATGTGACGGTATATTCCTTCATTTTATAAAATACAAATATATACAAAATTTGTGTAGTATTCTTACATTATGGCCTGCTCAAAGCAATACTTTTCACAGTAAGAAAAGATAATTAAATATTGCTGAACGTAGCAACTTATAACGAAGTGCTCAATAACAACAAGTCTGCTAGTTTGGAATTTCTGGTTGATTGATTCTTTGGAAATTCATTATCACTATGAGTGTGAGTTTTTAAGGTAAATAAATCTCTTTCGCACTGATCTAATAAGCAGAGACGCATTATGTCAGTATGATGAATTATTTTTGTAGTTAATGTCTGCAGTGAATATACACTAATACCGCCGTAAATATGAATTAGTTTCAAGACCTTAAGTTGGGGAAATCGTGGCGCGACTTACGATAGGTGCGCTACTAATCGACATGGTTTCTAGTTGTTTTGTGTAGTGCTTGAACCCGTAATCTCTGTTACACTGCAGCTGTATCAAGTTATACAAATTTTTAATTCTTTCTTATGCAGTTTTGCGTCCTTTTTATATAACTTTCGCAGTTGACTTAGCTAACGCTTATTGCACAAACTTGTTGACTAACTCATAGCGCCAATTCCTTCTCGTCTTGCAGTATTTGCACAATGTCTTTGCTCGTCTCTCATTTGTCTCGGGGTAACTTCTTCGGCTATTGACGTAGGGTTTCCTCGAACTCGCAAGTTTGAGAAAACTCCCGAGGTCAAATGACCTTGACCAAGGTTAAAGGGGAGTTTTGAGGAAATATTGGAGAATTTCACCAAGTCTCTGGAGATTTCGGGGTCTTAGTGCCATTCCCCTAAAGTTTACTGTAGTGGCTTCCTTAAAATTGGTCAAATTTCCCCCAAAATCGGGAGCTCGTGTTTATCACCAAATCTTCAATTGTTTAACTAGTTATTTAGTGAGTAATAGACGTGGCTGATCCCAATAACTAAGGACAACATCAATTCTGTTGTGATCATTTGGAATTTCTCTGGTTAACTAGACAGCTCCAATTACTTGACGACTGGGGACTCGCAAATCTCCACTCGCAACGTTATCTTCTCTGACTCTGAACTAGTATATACTTTTTAGTGAGCTACGGACATAAATCTTATTCCAAAATGTCGCACTATGACTATTTCTAACATAATTAACCTTTCTCCTATCGTTGCTAAATAATACTTTGCGTTATTTCACTACGAAATGCCCTCAAGAATGACCCTGTTTCTGCAGTCATGTTTAATAATTGTGAATTAATTCAAGGAAAGTTTATGCACAACAACCATTTTTTCAATACTCATATATCTCACGAAGTGATGAAGGTTTCTGGTCTATCAACTTCCGAGATAAAGCTCATCACTAAAGTTGACTATATTTTACAAAGTCCATGGGGATTCACATCCTTATCTGGTGAAATTTATTTTCCTAATGTAATGCATCTTTATATCCCCTTACTTCAACCTACTAGACCTGTCCTCCACAAGTCCCCGCCAAGCCCTCACTTTACTAATTTAGATTGAGGTTAGATGTTTAACGTGATACTAAAACTGCTTAACGTTATAGGAGTCAGTCGGTTGTGTAATAGGACGGTTTCTAGCTCATACATAGCTGTTAATTGCATTGGAAGCCAGTGAAATTTTCAGAGAGAATAATTTACCAACTGATGAAAGCAAGAAAACCTTTTACACAGACTTTGCTTTTGATTTCTTACAATCCTTTTACAGTATCCAAGATGTCGACGCTATAAATGTTGCAGATATTTAGTCAGAGAGCTAAATTGAGATTACTGGTTGTGAAATAGTTAGGATTCACTACAGCTTTGTTTCTAGATTCAAAATTACGCACATAATATGAATATTATTTTACAAAATCGCGATTATGGTTTTGCTCACTGTTGTATTGTTAAGCCCGGCTCAATATCACGTGATTTTTTCGCTAATCGAGATGCGACTTATACAATCAATGGTGCTCGACCGTTATGAGCAGCCTAGCGTCCTTATTGGTCCATTTTCTTCTTAGCCCTACCAGTTGAGTCCGGAACGCCAATATGCAAACCCATTATGCGAATCATTTATTTCAAACATACTTGGTTTATATACTAGCCAAACAGACCGTATCACACCATAGAATAGGAGATAACATTTACACAAGACCAAGCTGGAAGGTGGCTGTGAACGTGGGAGACTGTGACTAATAAACTGAGTATAATTTAAGAACAGTAAATCTTATAACAATAATATATAGGTTAAAATAAAGCTTGTAATAAGGGGAGTATAGATATACATAATCTATTTACTGAGTAGTTATACAAGAAGAATATATATAATGTTGATCTACTAATAGTTCTCAGAAGTTACCCGTAATTTAATCTTCACTAAGATGTAACACTTACTGTGTTCCTTTTATTTCGCTATTTTCTTTCAATATCTCCACCTTCATACATATACTACACATGATTCGTCTTTTATTTCTGACACATTACACTTCAGGCTAACATGTTTCTTATTTCTAATCTAGGTTTTGTGTTGAGAAGCAGAACTTTCAAATAATTGGGCTTAAATCTCAATAAATTTATTCTGATATGTTATGAAATGGAAGGGAATTACTTCGATCTTGATATTCCTTTTGAAGCAATGAACGCGCACCTCCTTGCACGCTTGGTTGATTGTGGATATTACTATGTGGCGGTCAGTCAGTCTGTATCAGTAGATGACTTCAATTTCGAAGTTAAATCAGATTCCACTACTAGGAAGAAAAACAAAGAAGAAAGACAAGCTATGCGTCAGAACCTCACTGCTAAGTTAGAACCCCCTTCTCCAGATGTTCTTCAAGCTTATATTAATGAAAGTAGTATGTTCAGAGCTTCCGTGTCGCCTTCTGCTATATCATGTAAACCACGAATATTCACACGTTTGACTATATATTGCAATAATGCTGAAAATGCCGGTTTATTCTTCCGTCAATTTGAGGATAAACTTGGTGCCTTCGATGTTGTGAGTTTCTGTCCTACTTCCAATAGCGCTTTTGCATATGCATGTGAAAAGGCTGTGAACATTGACCTTATATCTTTAGACCTTACAAAATCAAGTGAAATTCGACTGTTAAGTAAACAATGCAATTTGATGATGTCACGAGGTATCCACTTAGAATTCCAGCTTGCTCCAGTACTTCGCTCTTCCTCTGGAACCTATGGCGCACGTACAGTCTTATCACAGTATTTCAGCAGCTTACTCTGCATAGCACGGAAGTCATTTACAAATATGATAGTCGTCAGTTCCGGGGCGTCAAGCGGGTGGGAAGTCCGTCGACCAGTGGCTGTATCTGCAATGCTTGGTTGTCTAGGTCTGCAACCTCAGGAGGCAACTCACTCTTGTCTTACCAAGGCGCCTTTTGCAGTAGTGACTCATGGTCTTATACGAAGCAAAACAGTACATGGTGCAGCTGCACTGCTTAAACTTTTGTCTATGCCAAATGTATCTTCTATCGTTGTTAAACCTACTGTAAATAAACAAACTACAGACGAAGCTAGTTGTGTAGAAGATCAATTACCTTGTAAGAAGATAAAACTGACGCAGTAATCCCTATTTATTATTTTATTACTTACATAGGACGTATATTTCTTTATGAGAGAAACACTGACAGATTTTATTCTAAAAATATCTTTCTTCTACTAATTCTATCATTTTTCAGAAATAAATTAGGCACAGATGTCAGTCGCTGAGAAATAGGGTCGAATAATTCAACACATGTAAATGTGGAATTAATTATGGTGAAGCTCGTTTAGAGTAATGGTTTTTTTGGTGCTTATACGTGACTTTGAATTTGAAAGCTACTAGTTGGTGTCCATAACGGTTTATGGTCTTAAATAAATCCACTAAACCGGACCGCTAAGATAATCAAACATGTAAATCGATTGTATTTAGTAAGATAAATTCTTTAATAGGAACATACTATACATATTGTTGTAGAGATGTTAAGTGGATTAGGTAAATTAGTATTTCGATTTTTTGAGCAAGCCCGGGCGCCAGTACAGTGGGTGTGTTTCTTCCGTCTAAAAAATAAAACGTGATTGATTAATCCACAAAGTAAATGCTGATGGTGAGGAATGAAGCTTAGTTAAGAAAAGCTTTTAGATCTCGTTTCGTAAACGTTGGGCAGCAGCTGCGCACGTGTTCTGACTACCTCAGTCGACCAAATTTCAGCTTTATCACCTGATTTCCTGTTTTGAAACAACATTTAACCTTAACATAACTCACTTGGTAATTCAACTATATAAAGCAAGTGTTCAGAAGACAGCGTTGGAGTGACCTGTTTGCACAGTGGATACTTGCACTTCGACATACCTAAGCCACTTTGGCAAAGGTCGAGCGATCGTCTATATCCAACTAGTCTGTTAAAAGCAATACAGAACATACCCTCCCCCCAATTAATCAACCACAGGGATGAATACCAAGTTAGTTATGTAGCGTCCCCTTTGTAAGGTTGTCATTGTATGAAATGTGTTTTCCTATCGTATACAATCGCACCAACAATTTAGAAATGTATATTTTTTCATTCCACTCAGTTATTCTCAAAGTTATGAAGATTGCTACATGATAGTAAGTACAGGATGTTGCAAAAATAGAATTCTCACCACTTCGAGCTATGTTGACATTCGTAGCCAATCTACTGAAACGTATATTACAGATGCCTTATTTCGATAACTGATTATACTGTGATGCTTAGTGACAGCAAGTTAGATATTTCCTCTGTGTGATTAAGAACCCTGATTAGAAATTACTCAAATATCGTGATGAAAGATTTTACGGAAGCAGTCACATTTGAAGTGCTTATTGAAAACAGTTACAGACAACTTGAAGTGGAGTGTAAATTTTATCTGCAACTTTTGTGTATATATATTAATGACTAACTACTGTCTCCGCGTCTGTATACACTACTTTCATTCTAGTCTCTCAAATTCAGTATAACTTCAGTCCAGTAGTATGTAGGTTAGGTTATTATGAGGTATGTAGTTCAGATAACAACAAAAAGCCCAATTACCGCTGATTCATCTTCTTTGAAGATCTTTATTGATTTGTCTGCTTCACAGGACACCAAGCGAGATCCACTACGATCAAATGCTAAAGCAAATATCCCAGCTTCAGAATCAATACTGCCAGGCTGAACTTGAGCTTGAAGACGCTGAAAGTTATACCCAGATTTCCAATCCCAAAAGTGAACACTGCCATTATCGCCTAGAATAAGCAGAAAAACCAATGGCAGAGATCAATCTCTTGACAGACAAACATTTGAAATAGACCGTACGAACTATTTAAATGGTCAATACGTACATTATAATCCTTAATTTTAATAAATTACTGGAATAAAGACATGCATATGTAAACTAGTAAATACCTCCACTGACGACCACATTATCTTGGTTAACAGTGATGGCATTAATGATAGCATTATGTCCAGATAGATTCTGAAGAAAGACACCATTGGGGAGTTTCCATTGTTTTATATTATCCGGTGATCCAGAAACAAATGCATTCCTGAAAGATATGAAGGCATTCAAACATCAAATAAAACTTAGGTGATGAAATAATTGAACTATAATCATCATCAGAAAAACGATTTTCTATCTAGAAGATTACTAATTTACGAACGCGGCAAAAAGATGCGGATGTTCTAGTTGTTGTAAAGTTACGTATTGTAACTCAACCCCCAAATGCCCTGGTACGACCGAGAGTGGGGAGATTCCGTTCTCCCTCTCTAAATGCTCTCACATGGCCACGCGTATATAGTCTACCAGGGAAGTCCTACTCACTGCCTTCTCGTGGCGGGGGTGTTGTTTACAAAATTGAGAGGACGAAAAGCGAACGTTCGGCGCTTCAACCGGGTTGGTGGATATGGAGAGACCACCTAGGGGAGTTGGGAAACCCTGATTTCAAACCAATGGTGCACATGGGCTCCAGTATCCTAAAGGAATAAATGGCGTATGAATCAATCGTTGGTCACCGGCTACCATGGGAATGCATCTCCTTACTTTGCTCCACTGCCTTGTGGATCAGACCTTCAGATCGAAGGCTCCGGGTGTGGCCCCCTAAGAAAATCACCTGCTTCGGTTTGGGCACCCGGGCAGTATTGCAGCCCTCACACATATCAAATGAGATCGGTGTGGCGCATATGTATTTGTTGCCTCCTTGTACCAATATATATGTTTTAAAATAAATAATAAATAAAACTCAGTGGATAACTTGAGCTAATTGGTGAGGGTAAGCATACCAGGCTACTGCGATGCATGAACATACTAGTGACATCTCAAGTAAAAAAAAATACGAGTCACGAATCATGGTTAAATAGCCATGAAGCAAAGCCAAAATGTAGAACACTAGCACGGGGAGCCAACAGGATTACAAAAATGAAATAATCTTAGCAGTTTCAAAAACGAGTAATTCCCATACGTTGTAATATATGAAAACGAGGAAGAAAACTATAGCAAACAATTTTAATTCGACCCTGTCTTTAGTCTCATGTTATATCAGTAACCACACTAAATTTGCGTTTAAATGAATAGAGAATTAAAAGTCAAACTTCTAGGGAACTTACTGAGTTGGATGGATACATACAGCGCGGACAGATTTCTTGTGATTTGTCAAACAGGCTATGGTACGTCCTGCTGCCAAGTCCCAAAGGCGGACAGTTGCATCATGTGATCCAGTAATCACTTGAGGATCAGATTCTTGACAACGTACTGTCGCTACCGTGTTCGAATGTCCTGTTAGAGTATGAACATTGACCTGAAATAGAAGTTAACGGTTAACGACTTATTACACAAAGGAAATTATTTTTCAAGTGTGAAACTATTTAAAATCAATTAGTAGTAAGATATAATCTCAAGTCGATTGATAAGAAGAATATCTTTTCAGCTGGTTAACTTCCATTACAAAACTAATTGTAGCGACTTTCCACAGCACTTATAACCCGTTGCGTAAAGAAAAGGATTACAGACGTATGCATTACCAAAACGAAAACTATAGAGTGAAGTTTCCCAAAAATAATATAATTATCTAGTGCGTACAAACTAGGGGGTGGTTTTTCGACAGAACATTGTCCTTTTACAAAGACTTTGTGTTCTAGCGATGAAATTATAAAAGACAGAGCTAATACAATGTAACCTTGGAAGTTACAAAAAGGCTGTATGATCAACTTCACCAGTTGTTTCTTGAACTCCGCAATCATTTTTCAATGTACACACCATCGAGTTTTTTTTCCTACCGCATGTTAGAGAAACTAGTGCTTACCACCAACAACTGACTTTCACTAACAAACCCTTCTTCTATTCCTTAGATTACCTTGTATTACAGTTACCAACCTTCCTCTTTGACCATGAGACCGCAGTCACTAAGTGCTTTCAAAATTACACTCCAAACTACTTGTTAAACTTCAAGTGTTTTAGCGGATGTAGCAGAAATGCCTCTAAACTATAAAATCTTGTGTATGTCTTGTCCTTAAAATGAGCCGACATAGGACCCAAGTCTGATTATTCATGTGACTACATTCAGCCAATGTAAGAACCAGCACAGTTCCCTCTTAGATTACCTAGGTCCTTGATAATAATGTCTAGTGATATTGTACTTGTAGGTAGAGCATTACATTCCAAGAATAGAACAGTACACATTTGTTTGTGCTCTGCAGAATTAATCAGAAGGACATGAACTAGGAAAGAGGAATAAAAGATGTTATATTTTTGGAGTCTCTGTTTGTGCCGAATAACTGGTATTGGGAAAAACTGATGACTCATTACTTTCACAGCTTATGTCCGGACTCTTAATTTTCTTGAATTCAATTACGTGTTTGTGTAAACAGGGACTAATGCAATAGTTTTTTTTAGCTCAGAGATAAGAATGCACACAAGAACTTATCTAAGCATTTGGTGAGACGCGAAGATTTTCGTCCAAAGATTGCCAGGTACGATTTACAGGTTTTCGTAAAGACTAAGGTAGAGTCTGATGACCACACAAAACAAAACGTTAGGGACTGCAAAAGTATACCTAGAGATTTTGCTCTACTAATGTGTGCTTTGAAACTCACCCTTGTGGATTTAAATATACAAAAGGAACTTACAACCACAATGGAAAAAGTGTACACCATGTCCGTGGGTGCCAGTCAACTAGACTATACGAAGATGAGTAAAACAATGGTGATAAAGAGCAGTGGAAGGTTTTTCAGTCAGTCAGTCAGTTACAAATTAGGACCAGGCACATACATGCATCGGTCCAAGTTGCCACATCTCATTAGCATAGCAAGACGAATTCCGGATTCATAGAAGCAGTTAACTCAATGGTGTAAAATGTAAAGGAATGATTTCATTTAAGGATATGGTACAGAAAAAAAGAATTAGTTCGTAGAAAGAAAGATATAAAATAATTTGAATCTCATAGTTTAAGGGAAGACAAGGAGTGTATACACCTACACCATTGTGATCGATTCTGAGCCATACCACCCAGTCTCCAACGATTGGTTACGATTGTCACGCGAACCCCAACCAAGTTGCCTGACTCTACCAACATGGCTAAGGCTAGAAGTTAATGACTTCAAGCACTGATGCCACGTTTTGGTTTGGCCGCCTCTAACTTTCTTCCAACCATTCCCAACACTAGTCAACATTGCGCGTCGTGGTAATCGGTGTTGAGGCATACGTAACACGTGGCCCAACCATCTCAGTCGATAAAGATTAACAACCTCATTAACTGATTTACCATCATTCCCTAATACCCTGCATCCGGAAATTTTTTACGAATAATCAAACAAATTATTGGCAAAACTGCTATAAAAAACGACTAATTTACTCTCACACCAGGTGATTAAAACAGAAAGCGAAGGAATTTAAGGAATAAACCATTCTTCAGTTATTTTACGGTTCGGATGATCTGCTGTAATTTTCGAATGGTTGGCTGATCCCAGCTTTCACCCATCTGAAGAGGCTAAAAAGTACTTGGTGGGAAAAAGAAGTGAGCCTACATAGGTTAGCTCTGCATATTTTCAAGGGGGCTAATTACGACATTAATTAAAACGACTACGGTATTCGTTAGAGTTTGAGAATCAAACAGTTTTAGCCAGATGAATTTGGTCCTTAAAGTTTATAAGAGACATCTTTTAAAAACCGTCATGGAGTTAGTTTTATCGGTACTTTATTTAAAAGACCAATTGCTTAATCATTATCAGTGATTCATTTGATCATAAAGAATGAAGCAATTATTATGTTGATTACTTCGCTTATTTTAGGAGTCCTACTTGCCCTGACATTGATGGCTAGTAAAATCTTGCTAGAACAAAAAGAGAGAATTATCATATAAAAATCGATCCTAAAGTTAAATCTGTATTCAGACAACAAACAACAATGTTAATTTGAAGGAAAGATCAAACTCCTTACAATTTATCAACTTACTTTGGTCCGCATGTCCCATACTCGTGCAGTTGCATCCCGACCACAAGTAAGGACGACATCGATTGTTGGATGGATATCAATATCGTAAACAGCAGACATATGACCATGGTAATGACGAATAACCTTTATATGTAAGTATATATTAAAAAACTCATGGGTACCTTATTTTGCTCCAAATCCCAACAACGAACTGTTTTATCTTCTCCACATGAAAATAAGTAAGGATGACGAGCACTGACAACGACACCTCTAACAGTACTTATGTGACCTGTCAGTGTCAGTTTTAATGTCCCACTAGCAAAGTCCCAAACCTAGATAAATAAATAAAAGCGAACTAGATGAACTTTATACCTTGATCATCCGATCTGCCGCGCCAGTAACAAAGAAATCATTAGTAGGATCAAAAGCCACACAGCGCACCCATCCTGTGTGACCGCTAACAACCTAAAAGTTTTTGGATATAGTAGGAAGTACTAAATTACTCGACATAGTTTCCATGGTGGATGCCATGTGGGCTTGGGCATAGTCGGAGCTTTCTTTGGAAGTAGTAATTTTTCATTACCTATTTGAACTATAGAAGCGTTTTGTTCAAGTGCAGACCTTCAAAAATATTTATCGCATAAACTTTTGACTAACTTTGGTTTGACCTTTTCAGATGCGACAATAGCTCCCGGTTGTGACGTGTCAGAGACATCTAAAATAGATAGGACAGAAATCCACTTACTTTCTTTAGGCCTTAGTGGATTGTGACCAGGCTCCTTAAGTACAGGTCCATACTGATCTTTTGCTTTGATGGCGACTTTTAATGAATTACTAAGCAAAATAGTAAACAATATTAGTTATTTACCTTTTCTCATCGACTTCCGGAAGACGACTTTGATCAGCTTCAAACATATCATGTGTTCTTTTGAGAGAGCGGAAAACAAGTGTGTGTACAGAGTGGCGCTGAACCACCTAAATTTTCAACTTATTGTCTTTTTTCATAAAAACTAACCTCCATTTTGCAGAATCAAGCTATTAATGAAGATAAGCAGATTTTTAGTGATTAAAACTTATAAAACAATCTACTGAATTACTAAATGGTACAAAGATTCCAAGTAATGGTAAAATAGTTGGGACACAGTTGTAAAAACCCGCGAATTTTTACACGCATTTTGATGTTTATTGTTAGTATTGAGTGCAAAATCAATTTGAATACTGGTTTTATTCTATATCAATTACTGGATGTATTGAAATCCGCACTTTTAGACAGGTAATGTCGAGAACTTGAAATAGTTGTCTTAGACTGGCATGCCAGAAGACTCTAAATTTGACATGTTTTATTAAATCGCAGAATTTTAATAGAAAGGCTTTACCAAGTTGAGTAACACACTGAAGGGACGTGAATTAAGTGAATGAAAGCAAATTTTTCAAGAATTGGAGGAAAAATAAGTCACTAAAATTTTAATGTGGCCCAGTATTTGACTCCAGTTGGATCGTTTGTTGATTGCTATAGAAACATACATCTTGGCTACTCTCGTATATAATCATTGACTTAACTGGCATTAGTGAATAATGGGATTAAAATAAGTCAAACACGACGATGGGTTTTGAATACGTATATTTCATGTAATCGTTTGCCCGAACAGACAGTCAGGAAAACACAGCGAAGGAAGTGGATAGAGCGGAGCGAAATGGATAAGAGAAGGCATGTGAGCCGACTCCATTTGACTAAGAGTAACTCAATATTTATAGCCAGATCAAAAATAAATTACAGATATGTGATAAGTAGGATAAGCATTACGCACACAAACGCTCACAAAGGAACAGATACGGTTGGTAAGCGAATAATTAACAAGGTCAAAATGTGACTGTAGAAGAATAGATAAATTATTCTGTCCGGAAGCTAGAATAACCCATGTGGGATCGACAGTGACTCTAAACTTAAATGTCTCACTTCAATTTAAAAGTTTGAAGGTTTTAGCTTATCATGAATGATATGGAGTTTGTCTCAATCAGTTGTTGCATTTGGAGGTTTACACCACCCTATCAGTAATGATAACGAACACATTTTGAAATGATACTTCGAGAACAAACTAAACTTTCGTAAAGCGATAACCTATTATAAGCTTACCACGATATTTGAAATATGTCGAAGGTGAAAATCTCAATTGATAAACGGTTTTACAGTGCTACTTTCTAGAATTAGATGTAGCATCTGGTTTAGTTTTTGCGTACTAATGTTGAAATGACGGTGATCAACTTAAACTCTTCAGAAGACCAGAAAACCAGAGAGCATCGATTGGAGTGACGTATAGAAGTTTTCAAAAGATATATAACTAAGTAACACAAATGTTCATACATTGGATCGTTCAAGAAACATACGAAGTTTAAGGCTTACTGAGACTAGAAATAAAAAACTGAAAATTCGCTGGTAATCCTGATACATTTGATAAGAAAGAACTCCACGATTATATTTACTTTCACAATCTGAAAATCCAGAAACAACAAGAATGCATCACAGGATTTTAACCTTAATTATCGAAGCTAGTGGGTTTTTTGTTGGGGATCATCAGAAGGTTGTTCTACAATTCGGTTTTGAACAGCATGGTGATTAAGATGGACATTAGGAAAGTAAAGCAGCAACACATTCCCCACGCTTCACGCAGCCTTAGAGGGATAAAATAAGAGAAATATATACGCATTACATACACGCACTTGGAGAGAGTACATAGGTCTAATACTCTTGCAATATTAGATGCATTGTATAAACCACAATGAGTCGATTAAAAAGCCACATTCACATAAATATCTGAGAAAACGTCGAGAGCACAACTTATGGACGAACTAATCAGATTTACGATAACAGGTCTTGGATTTCGGTGCGAAATTCCTTATTCATGTGGCTAAATAACGTCCTGGCACTTTAGCTGGTGTTATTTCGTGATGAAAACCCAAAATCTAACTTCCAACCATAAAAATCAAATGTAAATCATAATCCTTATCCTTCAGATAGGTTTAAAACTCTTAAAAGAGATAACAAAAGCCTCTAATGTCATATTCACAGTACAAATCTACATCACTATCTCCAGCATATGTGCAACAATTTGGTATTGATTAATAACGTAAGAAAACTAAAGATTACAAAATTTCTTAGAGTTATTAATTTGTTAAGTAACCCATCAATGCTAACCTGGATGAGAAGCTTTAGACACAGTAGCGTTGAAAATGAACTGTGAGCCGCAAAAGGTCTCAATTTCCAATATTTAGCTATTTGTGACCAGCGAGTGTAGACCATTCTGTTTTCTGAATCAAATCATCCGTTTTGGAGTACAGCTTAAGATCTTTCATATCTTCCATCACAATCGAAAGGAAGTATGTGAGATCGAAATTCATGTAATATGTCGTCGGACCTCTTCGTTTTCTGATTTGTGATTTGACTGGGTCGGCATATTTCGATTACAAAGGTGTTGCATGTGACGGTGTTGTCAAGCCCGAATACTTGTGGAAAATTTAGGTGTAACGCCTTTAAATTGAAAGTGCAAATAGTTGGTCAAACCAGGAGCCGGTAATGAAGAGTTTCGAAGATAAGTTCGGAAGATGGTTAATTTGCTGAGAATAAAGTGATCTTACCTGATCAGGTTTGCCACAGTGCATTCGTTTGGGATCTGATGTAGATGCTTGAGGTTTGCTTTATACAGCTAATGAGGTTAGCATCAACGTCGAGAATGTACAGAACTGTTCTTCTGATGCTCATTTAATGCCATGTGTCTTTTGCTATGAATGAACATATTTTACTTATTTTCCCAAGGAAGACTCTGAGCCACAGGTGTGCACATGAAATCCTATACTCCTCAAAAAGCTCCTCACCAAAAGAGATAAGTCTACACATTCTGCAATTGAGTAAAATGTATGCCTGATTAGTGATAATAAAAGACGTGACTTCAATTGTCTGTTAACTGTTTGGTGTGAAGTTCCTCGACGGTTACCCAAGGAATAGTAATAATAATGTTCAGATAGGACATTTTTAATTCAGAATATATTGTGGAGGATTGATTCTAATCAAAATGCTTTAGTGTACTAGGAAAGTATGCGTTTTAGCATAAGTAGGGTCGGAAAGGAGACGAACTAGAGAAGTGGTGAATAAATGATCCAGAGAGTGTACACATCGCACTTATATTTTTTATAAGGGAAGTATACGACAATAAACAACAATAACGCATCCGTCAGGTGGATACAATCTAGTAGTCGAAACTAGAGCCACTTAGTATAATCAGTTAAAGTATATCTCGCGTATTTTTTTGAATTCCAATGTTAGTAAATGCGATTGCACTTGTAACTACGTTATAAGAAATACACTTATTTTGTTATGTGATGGTAGAAATAGATTATATTGACTACTTTGTTCTAAACAGTCAGATTAAGTTTAGCTACTAGTGAATTTTAGCACGGTATCCGGAACACGATGATGGTTAGCTATAGCTTGTCTTAGCTATGTAGTATTCAGCAAAAGTCACCCATATTTCTGGTTAAACGTTGAGGAGCAAGGAAGATGACGAGATAAATGATGAGAAATTAATTTGAATGATTATACGAATGACTGTGAGAGATGAAATACTTTCAGATAAATATGGTTGAAAACAAGATTTTAGGATTCCTAATTCGGTCTGGAAGTTCATGAGATTTTACCTCAAGATATAAATCTATCAGAAATTGTTACCTGCAAGAAACTCACCAATCCATATTTTGAAAATGCCTTATTCATGAATCACGTTGCCGGTAAATTGAGAAACAAGTGTTGTGGTAAAAAAAATTTGTGTAAGCCTCTGAGAGTAACGCTAACTTTTTAAATACTACTTTACAAATCCTTTCTCTGTAGACGATTGGCCGAGAATCCGTACCAGATAATGTCCCAGTAGATAACAACATTTTCTTTCAAAGTCCTAACACCCTCTGAGCAAAAGAAGTATGAGCTGATGTTCAAATGTCTAATGGAAGGAAGAGAAACATTTGATCATACTGTTTAATTCAATTTTAAATAAACTTTTACAGTTCTTATTATTTTCCCGATTATTTTAAATTATGAATTAGCAGTGCATATATTAGTGAATATACCTAGGCTATGAAGTTCGAATGGCTTCATTGATGTATTATTTTGTTGAACATGTTAGTTGCACGAAAAAGGGTATCAAATCGCTTGAACTGCCTTTGAGTAACACACGATTTATCTGTGGATTACTTTATTCGGCCGTCAGGACACGACAGTAGTCCCGAATATTTCATGTAGCTCAGCTGAAGATATGTAATACAAAACACAAACATAAACAATTTACAGCTGAGTTGATAAATCGTATAGAGCATTTTAAATAACGTACTTATTTTAATCAAGATGGAAGAAAAATCATCGGCCCTTATTTTTACATGGCAACGGAAAACTCATACGTGAGGAATAATTCAGGCCTTTTCGCTCGAAATCAAATCTTCATTTACTGATAAGAAATACAATAATTTGATTCGCTTGTAACAACTTCTATAGAAAGTTATTCAACCAAGATATTTTTTCAGGAAACGTTCTTCCATGGAATGTATATCACATCTGGCTGGGAAAATGGAACTAATGTATTCGGTGTTCAACATCTTGCCGGAGATCCTTGACAAACCAGTTAACTGCTGTTGCTTTCCAACGTAACGCGACCGAACTGCATCAGGTTGTTAAGTTAATCTAGTAGGAGACGTTTACCTGTTTTGCTGCAATACACCTAGTGGTTTCGTGAAATAGTTGATAGACTTAAATGCTTTCAACAGCATTTATCTTGGCCATCGTTCACTAAGTTTTCCTCATAGTTGCTTCTACTGCAATATACTGGAACGAAGTGAATTTACTGGTTTGGATAGCCTAAGGTAACATTGCAATTTAAAGCCTCTCAGTTCCTAGTTTTGTGTAGCATATATTCACTTATCTCTATCGTTTTTCTCATTCGGAATTTTGTTTTGCGTGCTTCCTCCTTAAATGGCTTTACATTTTACTCTTTTGATCTGTTAAATAGTATGGACAGTGATAGCCCTGTCACCAATACTTATGCTATGAATAAAATAACGGCTAGAAGATGTAGAGGTCTTTTTTCAGAGGTCATGAATAAACCAAATATCTCCGTTTCATGCAACAAGATCACATGAAAGCTCAGTGTGACACCGGAAAACGAAGATCCCTGTAACGTAGACAAAGTGGATCACTCAACTCAAAACTTGAAACTAGATTTTCTACAAAGTAATCCGGGTCACACTCTTACGCAGCTTCCTACTCCTAGTAAGACTAAAAGCAAAGTAGAAAATGTATAACAAGCCCGTGTTGACAATTGTTAATGAGGTGAGACAACGCAATAACGATAACTGTACCGCATGATCGTTTCTCGTTAAAACCAGTGACTCGATATTTGCATGTGATTGCTATAACGTCTGGGTTCACTGTCTCTGTGATTTATAGTACGTAAACCATACAACGGGTTTGTGTTACGTCACAGCACGTCTTCCCAAAACGCTGAGAAGACAGACTAATGGATCAAGAGGTAAACTAGGAGAAGTCAGAAGCATGTGTTTTCAGTTATATTTGAGGGTCACGGTCCTGGCGGAAACATGCTTATCGCTAAACATCATAGACGAAGAAGTAAGCTTTTGGACATAGCACTTTTTCAATACTCCAGGGTGCACAAAATAAGAGCTGGGGTGACATTAACTGCCACTTCAATGGCGTAACACCACATAGTACTCAGTCGGCCGAGTTGACAGACCCATCGTGGCGTTGCTAAAGTGTGAACGCTACGAAGTTCTTGAATGGAGGAATATACCGTCCCCGTAAAGTTTCTAAAACATAAAAGGGTGGGATAAGAGACAATATACCAAAGTCCCCGCACCTGCGTCTTGACTAAATACTATCAGCTACAGAATTCAAAATTTACCGGCAAATGATCAGCTTCTAGTTGAGAATGTCCATCACCACTTTTTAATAGGAAGTAGTGGCCAGGCTACATTCATGTTCGACGTGATCACAAACAAAATAAATTGGCAAGATGAAAATGCTTCTTATCTTGGAAAAACCAGAGCAGACTATTGAGCTATGAGTGAGTATCCTCAAAATGTCCCATGGCTACGAGAGTGTTGGAGGCTAACAATGAGGTCCCGCTCGGAGTTATGAGGAATGTCATTGAAAATGCTATTCAACATAATGTATCTTGGGGTAAGCACATACTCGGGAAGCGAAGATTCTGGGTTAAGTGAGGTTTGGAACGCTTGCTACGGTTCAAACAGAGGTCCTAGAACAAGTGGAAGGTCTCCTTGACAATTTTATTGTCGCACTTACTCGGTGTTGCGAGACAGATGCAATAGTAAAGTGCAAAGTCAAGCTTGCAGCCAAAATGCAAGCTAACGCAGAACATCGATATAGATTCATGGTCAGGAGAAATCCCACAAACCTATGAATTTGATATCTTAAGTGGCCCAGTGGCAAATATCTCACCAACTTAGAGGTGGCAGAGATCTTTAATGTCACTTTTGTAGACCAACTTAGACAGGAGCCTGATACTACAGAAAGCCCCTCAACTCAAATGGGTCTGGGAGATACCGAACGAAATGGCAAGCTTATATTATAGAGACTAAAATCTTTTCCCTTAGGAAAGTCGCCAGGATGTGACAACATGCAACCTACAATCCCGAAACAATGACCGGAAACCATCAGTATACCTGTGTCTGACCTGTTCAAGAGCTCACTAGATTTGCAACAAGTCCCCAGAGAACGGCAGCAGGCCGCTGTCACTCCAATCTTCGAAATGGGAGATAGAGAAAATCCAGCCTGTTATTGATCAGTCGTGTTACTCCCAATAT